AATACTTGTTTAATTCCTTTTGGTTTACCTCGAAGTTTTTCATTATGATGTGTGGCTGAAAATACCATTGATTGCGGTTGTTGATTTGGTCCAAAATAAGTATCATGCATAATTGGTTGCTTGCCACTGGGATTTAAATTCATTCAGTTTGCAACTAAAGCATCTTTTCTAAAAGCAGCATGATTAGAACTATTATCAAAGTCAAATACCGCTACACAATTTGAATACAATGTCTCAAAAATAGGAATAGCTTTATGTTTGATTTGTTCAAGAAGATGATCAGCTGTCTAGTAACCTTGATTTTTATCAGGTTTCAAATAGCATCGTACTTCTTCAGGTATATTTGGATTTTATAATATATCTGCTTGTTGTAAACGCAAACATTCATTAATTTCAGTAAGAAACTCACTGACTATTATAGATTTTCCATTCCCTTTTTTTCGTAGTGATAGTTCTCCATTTTTGGCCCAAATTCCATATTTACTATCGTTAGAATAAAAAATACACTCATCATAAGTTACAAGAATTCTTTCCTTTTCTTTTTTAGATAAGTTAAGATATATACGATCCATTGTTTCACCTTCATACTTGGATATATATTTCTCATGTTCAAACATTTTTCTAAAAATACTTTGCGATATTGTAAAACATTATCTCGTTCGTGTCTGTTATAATATATATCTTGATAATGTTGTTGAAATGAATAACCAAGAATATTAAGCCATCTTGTTGCAGTTATTAAAGAAATAGTTTTTTTTTGTAATTCTGATATTAGGCAATAGTTTCTGTTTAACAAATTCTTTAAATGTAGTTGGCGTGGCCTTGAAATTTTGCTCATGAACCCAAATTCGACATTTTTCAGCTATATCTTCATCATCAATTAATCTAATAGTTTTTGATGCTTTTCATATTTAGAAACCGGGAGTTTATTATTATATAACCAGTAAGTTGTATTATATCGGATATATCGCGCTTTCCATAGACTACCATCAACAAAAACGATTTTAGCTACCTCTAAACTAGCATGCATTTTTCCATTATTTAAGCAGGTAAGATATTTATAGATAGCTCTTTTTTTGTTATATTCGGTAATGGTCATTTTATCATATTGTTTTTCTAATTGTTCTTTTAGACTTCGTATTCTTTTATCAATTTGGTAAGTATCTTTATTGCTGATTTCATTTTCTGAATTACTCGAAATTCCATCAGATTGTATAATTATAGCTTGATTACTAACTTTAAAAAAACTTGTAATTTTTTTAGTATTAACAGCTGCCTTAGTAAATGAATCAGTTGGTCCATATTTTTTATAATAACTTAATCTTGAAGCCTTTCCTGTCATATATTGACCACGTTTTATTTTTTCTAATTCACTTTCTTCCTTCCTCTCTAATTTAAATTCTTTGTTTTTTAGGTTTTGTATTTCTTCAGTAACATCATCTTCATCATCATCATCCTAATCACTATCTTCGTCATCACCCTATTCTTCTTCACCAAATTTTTCCTTATAAAGAATTTCAAATTTATACTAATATCACTTTTATTTGCGGTCTTACCATCACCAGAAGTATTAAACAAACAACTATCACTATAAGGATCAGATGAACCACCATCACCAGAAGCACCAAATGAACAACTATCACCATAAGGATTAGACAAATCACCATTACCAGAAGCATCAAATGAATAACCATCACTATAAGGACCAGATGAACCACCATAACCAGAAGCATCAAATGAACCACCATCACCAGAAGCATTAAATGAACCACCATCACCATAAGGATCAGATGAATCACCATAACCAGAAGCACTAAATGAATCACTATCACTAGAAGCACCAAATAAACCACCATTACCATAAGGACCAGATGAACTACCATCACTAGAGGTACTAAACGAACCACTATCATTAAAAGGACTAAATGAACCACTATTATTATGAGACGCAATAACTGCAGTAACTGTGCCATAATGACCAACATTTTTTTTATAATTGTTAATTAAAATTGAGGATTCAGGTTGATTTTGGTTATCTGTACTTGGATATCGTGCTTTTTAGTATCAAATTTACCATCTACAGTGCGTTTTTGGTTTTTTGATTTTCTTTTTTTGCTTAGAAAGAGGTGGCATTTTTAATACAATAAAAATAAATTAAAACGCGTTCAAGATAATGGTTTAATGCAAAGTACGTAATTAGTTTATTAATTTAACGATTTAAGATGTGATTACTATCACATTTTTAGGTACAGTGTGAAACACGAATAAAATTTGTGATCATGCATTTTGACCGTCTTTATTATATAATATTGGCAAAAATTCTATGGATTTAGGAAGAGAATTTCTGAAATCGTCTATTTTATAGAAGGTATTTATAAATTTCTTTATCACTAATATTTATCATAGTTTATTGATTAAATATATTATACTAATATTGATTGATCATAAAAAGTATAATTTAGTTATATTTACTTATGATTAAATATATCACACTAACATTCATTAATCATAAAAAAGAATAATATTAAAATTAAAAAATTAGATACAATTTGAATTTAGATTAAATTTTTGATGAGTATAGATATTATGCATCATAATATTTTCAAGAATTTTTTGAAGTCTATAAAGAGTGATATTAGAAATATCTAAGACTTCAAGAATTTTGTTAAATGCAACTACTAAAATATTATATTTATCTTCAATTCAAAGTAGCTGTAAACTTTTAAGTATATTTTCTAATATTATTGAAAAATATTAAATATTATAAAAAAGAATCTCAAAATTAAGTTATTATTTTAATTATAAGCTTATCAGACTCTATATATTTAGTATAATTAATTTTATCCTCATTATTACTTTTCTTATTCTCTTCTTCTTTATTTTCTAATATTTCTAACTGATCATTATTATTATATTCATCACTACTGTTGGATTGTATTTCATCTTCATTTATATCATTTATATTAATAAATTCTTTATTATTATTATCATTTTCTTCATATATATTGTCAAATTTATCATCATTATTATTATTTTCTTTATTCATATTGTTAAATTCATTATCGTGATCATCATTTTCTTCATTCATATTGTCAAATTTTTTATTTTGATTCTTATTAACATTAATAGCTAGTAATAATAATATAAGTATTATTCTGAAATTATATGATGATATTGAAATAGTAAAAGTATTTAAGCATCTTAGTGATACTGCTGGTACAGTATGTCTGTTAAATTTATTCAAGTTTATTTTAGTTTACTATATATCTTATACAAGTTGCTTTACTAACTAATTTATTCAATCCATTTGATTTTTGAAGATACTAAATACATATACAAAGAACTTGATTATTAACTATTTTAAAGTTAAAATATTAAAAAATTTTAAATTTTTAATTTTTTATCGTGAAAAAAGTTAAAAAGTTTACCTTTTTTAGTAAATATATAAAATAAAATAAATGAGTCTATTTATTCTATCACAATAGAAATATTGTATATCATTTTAAAGCTTATTTATATTATTTATTATTAATAAATAAAACTTTATTAAAAACAATTAAAATCAATATTAATGTTGATTATAAATCTGAATTATTTATATTACTATAAATAGATTATAAATAATTAAAAATAATTAAAAATTAATATTGATTATACATTTGAATTGATAGTAAATAACTATTTGTATTACTATAAATAAATTATAAATAAACTTTAATTTCATTTATTAATTTTTATTCTTTTTCTTTTAATTTAAAATAAAAATTCTTTAAATTTTAATTACTTAAAATGATACAAAATACAAATACAATCTAATATTTTAAATTCTGAATAACGTTACTGATAATTTGCAATATTAGTTGCTCTTGATTCTTTACTTATAGTATTACTTTCAGATGCACGTAGTGCTATATAGGAAATTACTAATAAGCAGGTTTATTTAATTTATATTTAAAAATATTTTATTAAATTACTTAATTAATGTGATGAGGTTATATTGCAATTTCCAAAAGGATTTGCAATAAATTCAATAAACTTCAGAAATACAAAAAGTATAAATGACAAAATAAGAATGATTTTCAGTGGTATGAGTTTTTAAGACTTAATAAAAAAAAATATTTAAACTTTAAGGCAAATAATATCTGCGAAATACAGTATAATAATTTATTTTATTAATAAATAATTATTATTATTATCACATTATAGAATGATCTTTAAAATTGTGCAACTTCAAGATTTTCACATGATAATTCTATTTCTTATCAGCAAAAAGGAAAAGTAAAGAAAGTTATTAAAAATGTAAATATTCAGAATTCATATATAAAAAAGAATAAATATATAAAATCTATGGTATTTATTATTCTATTATTAATTTAGTTTAAGGATGCAAATTCAATATTTTCAATTTTTGAAGCTAATTTTATTCTTTATGAGTAGCTTACTTCATATTGTAATAGCACAAATAATAAATAGTTTATGTTTAATATAAACTAATATTATTTTACAAATAATTAAATTTCATATTATTTTTTATAGTCGATCAAGTTAAAAAAGAAAATTAATAAAGCAAAATCACATGATCTTTTACTATCGCTACCAAAAAAATGTATATTCTTCTAAGGGGCATATTATAACTAATGAGATTGATAAACTACAAGATCTAGAAAGCACTGAAGATACTGATAAATAAGATTTAGAAAGTACTGAAATGACTAATAAATCACAAGATTTTGAAAGCACTTTGGATATTTAACTTTATTTTATTTATCCTTTTTAATTTGAGTTATCAATCAAAATTTAATATTATTTTATTTCTTTTTGAAGCAATTTCACCATCTGTTACTCCTAAAATTACTACTGAACTTACTACTGAAATTATTATTCCAAATATAGTCTATACTATTAATAAAACTTTTGACACTTCTTAAGGTAGTAAGAATATATAAAATGATTCATTTCTTATTATTTTTATACTAATAATAATTTTTTTTGATAGAAAAAGAAAAGTGCAGGATTAGAGGTAGAGATAAAGGAAAAGAAAAATGAATACTAGGAAAGACTTGCAGAATAAGATCTAGTAAAAGTATCAAGAGTGTTAAAAGTAAAATGATAGTTAGAACTACTGCATCTTAAGAATGAAATAGTTGATCTTATTTCAAAGTTATATACTATTTAACATTTATATTTTCATATTATTCATTTTAATTAGCAAAATTATCAATCTTTTAATTAATAATAAATCTATTTATTTGGCAAAATTATTAATTTTATTTAATGAAATTATCAGTAAAATATCAGTTTTTAAATAATAAAATTATCCATTTTATTTAGCGAAATTATTCTGTAAAATTTCCAATTTATTAATTAAGATTATTGTAAAATTAATCAGTGAAAGATCTGTAATTTATTAAAAACTGAGTAATAAACTCTGTGAATATGAGCCTTTTATGAAAAATACATGAAGTCTAATATATATTAATTAAATGAAAAAAATGGAATTTAAATACGAAGAAATAATGGAATAATTCAGATCAACTTTTTTTATAGGGCTGTCATCAAACAATTTGAAAGTTTTCACAATATTTCCTAAATGATCAAAAATCACACTTCATTAAAACTGGTTTCCTCTTATAACTAGTCGAAATAGTCCAAATCAGCTAAAAATCAGATAGCCAATTTTAGGCCGATTTTGATACTATTTACAACCAATTTGCCATATTTTCTGATTAGCACAAACAGATGCTGATAGACACTGATCAATCCCAATCGGACATGGTCATTCAAACTTAAATTCAACCATAAATCAGCCTAAAACTGGCCTCAATTTGGTAATAATTCAGATGCTGATAGACGCTGATTGACATGACCATTTAGCCTAAAATTGACCTTAATTCAGCATCATTCAGCATCAATTTAAAACTTAAATAATCATAACTCAGCTTAAAATTAATCTCAATTCAGCATCATTCGGCATCAATTCAGAATTTAAATAACCATAAATCAGCCTAAAATTGGCCTCA